TTTTGTAAAGGAAAGTAAACTTGCAGATTGGGAATGAAGGACCGAATGCAACAACAGCTGCTGTGCGCTGAGGAGACCCCGAAACAAAGCTCTGGGAAAGGCGAGTGTCACAGAAAGAGGGGCCTTGACGTGAGTGTTTCATCCAACATCTTGGCTGGTGCCATGAACTGCTGGGCTCTGGATGCCCGTCACGCCCCTGCGTGCCCCCGGTGGGGAAGCAGCCGGGCTGCAGAGCACCGCGCCTCGCTTTGCCGTCCCGTGTCAGGCTTCGCTGGGAATTGGGAAGGGCTGAGCGCTCCCGTCACCCCATGAGCCGCAATTCCCTTGGCCCAGCCCTGGGGTCAGCGTGCGGGAGGGTGGAGGCTCCACCAGCTGACACCGAGAAGTTGTTGTAGCTGCGTTGCTTACCGCCGCCATGGCTACGGATAAATATTTTGTATGTGGGCATCTCTGGTGTCGGCTGAGGAACACGAATCCCAAGAGGTTAAATGGCCGTGGCGGGTCAGTTGGTCACGGGTTCACCCGGACCAAGATAAGAGGATCTGCGATGTGGAACAGTGACATTGGGAAACCCGTGTCTTTTGCTCAAATTGTTTCGTTCGAACTTTTCCTTCCAGCGTGGGACGGACAGCAGGCTCGTGGAGGATTAATGCAAACAGGTCCCCTCTCCACCCTTCGCCGCAGAGTTATTTCCTTCTCCTCCTCTCCCTGCCGTGAGTCACCACCCCCTCCCTCCCTCCATCTTCCCCGCAGGTTTGTCCGCTCCCGCGTGGACGCGCTCACACACACACACACACACACACACACGTAGGGTCACCTGTAGGGTCCGGGGGGGCTGGATGCAGCTCAGACCCCTCCGCAGCCCACAGCTGCCCGCTGGGACGGGCCCGGAGTTACTGAACCAAAGTCGCCGTTTCAACCTGCGTTCAGGACGACGCGACTCGTGGCCAGAGCATCTGGTGGCCCTCCCCATGCAGCTCCAGGGGAGGGGGGGTGCACACTGGAGTCACGGCATTCTGTGGGGTTGTTTGACGGGGGATGGTGGAAAACAACTGAATTTATCAGGTGTGGGAGGCCGGGGGGTGTTTCTGGCTCCTTCAGGCTGCACAGTCGTCGCTCGGCCCCGCGCCGCCTGCCCCAGCGCAGCTCTTCCCTGACTGTCAGCAAGAAGTCACAGCTTTACAGAAAAATACCAGTGGCGTTTCTTGCCCCCAAAATCACAGATAATTATTTCTTTTTTTTTTTTTTCTTTTTTTTAAAAAAGCAGGCTGCAGAAGAATTATTCTGATTATTTTTTAGGAGGCGGTAGGAAGGTGTTCAGAGGGTGTGATGGGGCTTTTGTAGCTGCGTCTTCTGGCCTGTCTGTGCAGCGGCAGTTGCACAGCTGAGAGCTGTAAGGCCTCTCAGCCCATCAGGCAGACGCTGGCAAACAGCTGCGGGTTGTTTCTCCAAGGCACAAACTATCCGCTCTGCTCTCGGCACTTTCGCAGCCTCACTGGGACCCTGCTCAACCCCGTGACCGCGGCGTGCTTTGGATCAGCCTTCCCATGAGCACATTTCTGAGTGCTCCGTTTCGGTGAAAAGAGCATGATGTCAGGCCAGAAGAAATAATCTGAAGCCAAGGTTCTGGTTTGGGTTTGTTGTTTTTTTTTGTTTTTTTTTTTTGTCTAAAAGCTGATTGTTTATTCAGGGCCGTGCATCCAGATGCTCCATGAGCATCCACTGGTTTTTCACAGCATCCCGACCCACACCTTTGTTTTACAAAGATTTTCAGCTGAAGCCCACGTATGTGAGGTTAATCCGGGTGGGTAGCTGGAAGTAGGTTCGATGTGGTGACAGCATCACTTAATTTACATACAACCGGAAAATATGTCCCACGAGTGCCACCAGACTTCTATGTGGGATGAAAACCGTTCCCCCGGTTTCCTCGTCACGTCTAGCAGTGCGCGCTACTGATTTTCTTTTTGCTAAACTTAGGTGGGTATCAAGTGTTTGAACTCTTCTACAACAGCCAAATTAGGCTGGTTGCTTTTTTTTTTTTTTTTTCCCCCTTAATTTAGAGGCTGTCTGGGTTTGTCTGCACGTGGCATGGACTGAAGAGGGTTTGTGGCCGCCTCTCCGAGCACCAGGCACCGCAGTGCCTCCTTCTACCTACGGCGGGACGGAGCTGCAGCTCAGAGCACTCAGACACCGCGGTGAGAGGCACAGAATAAAAACCCAGGGTGGTAAACCTCAGTGAAAGGGTGGAACCGAAAGGGTGGAACAGTTCAGGGTGGTCCACGATGGGATGACATTTAGCAAAGGAAAGTTTCAGTGCAGTACAGAGGAAAATGTCCTCATGTGGAGTTGTGTCAGCCAGGGAAGATCTCTGGGGGGGGGAGTGAGGCCCCTGTGCTTGAGTCATTCAAAGGGGACAGAAAAAAAAAAAACCCCGATGGAAAATGTACTGTTGGGAGCAGCCCTGCACTGGCAGGAGCTGATAAACTGTATGACCTAAATGGTATTTTCCATCTCCCAATTTATGTGACACGGGAAGTGATTTATTTCAGCCTACCACCACTTTACTACAAGAAGTAACGCCCAGCTGGCAAGTACCTGCTTTGAACCTGGGGGTGAGGAAATCTGGTGGTCGCGGAGGCGCTCGGAGAGGAGCCTTAAGAGCCCCTGGAAGTGCGGCAGGTTTGCCTTGGCTGACGGGGTTGCTTTGCGGGTCATGCTCTTTGCCCCGTCCAAACGTCCTCGTCAGTGTAAGGTCCTTGAGAAATAAACCAGCCGAAAGCATCAACAACACATGGGTTGCCCTCTCTTACGAGGTCACTTTTCTCCCGTGTCCAAGTCAGCTGAGAAGCACTTAATTGGCAGCGGAAAATGTAGAAGCAGCGTATCCCCCAACGCTGTATTTTGTATTTCCTGCTATTCTGCTAAAATCACAGAGGATGCTGAGGGTGGGCATGAGGGTAACAACAGACGGGGCGGTGGGGTCTGTCTGCGGCACAAGCGGCTCCTCAGGAACCCGCAGCTGACCCCGCTTTGCTGAGCACCAGCTTTCATGAATCATCGGCTTTTATGGAAATCCGTCTCAGTATCCATTTACCCAGCTGTTTCCTGGGCAGGGGAAGCTTTGTGCTAGCTGCAACTTTTGTTTTACCAGGACCGAGTGGTCATTTTAATCATCGTAAAGTACTGAGCAAAGAACCACATGTGCGTTTTAAAAAAAAAAAAAAAAAAAAGGATCATCAGCAACAGCTGAAAAGTGTCCAGAAAGAGGTCAGATGTGGAGAGTGATTTACGGGTGCTGTGGGTGTAACCAAGTAGCAGAATTGCCTCAGTGCTCTCTGAGCCCAGCAGTTGCCAACTTCCTTATATTTGCCGATGTCTTTTTTTGGTTTGGGGTTTTTGTAGACTCCTTTTAAAAATAGCAACAGCACCTCCTTTGAGGGTAATGGAAGCAGTTACCGGAGCTAGAATGAGGTGGTAATTCCTCTGCTGAAATCGCACACAGGAAGCGTTTGATTTTTCATTCCTGTGCTGTAAAACGAAAGGGTGAAAAGTTGCTGCTTGAAGACCGGGGTTCTCTGTGAATTCGTAGTATTCAGAGAAATTCAGAGAAATACTTTCCTCTGGCTGTCTTTGGGCGAGGATGTTACAAACCTGCTGTGCATCCACCTCGCGAGGAGCCAGCCCTTGGCGTGGGGGGATGATGTGTGGGTGCAGCCGCGGTGCCTCGGGCACGGGGATGGAGATAGCGGCTCCGCGGGGGGGTAGGGCCCTGCAGAAGGTCTGCGGAACATCCTCTCGCCACGAGCACAGCACGATCCGTGTTTTGTGTCATAAACATTAAATCTACAGCAATGACTTAGGTGTAAATAGGAACTGGGTAAAGAGGCTTCGGTGTAAATAGGAACGTGACCCAAAATGGGTCACCTTTTGCTAGACACTGAAGGATCCATAGGGAGATCACCAGCAAGACACAAATCTGTATGGAAAAAAAAATAAATTTCCCAGCAAGAGTGGTCCGAGAGTGGAACAGGCTGCCCAGGGAGGGGGGAGTCCCCATCCCTGGGGGGGTTTCAGGGCCGTTGGGATGAGCTGTGGGGGATGTGGGGTAGGGGAGAACTTTGCAGAGTCGGGCTGAGGGTTGGACTCGATGATCCCGAGGGGCTTTTCCAGCCTGAATGGTTCTGTGACTCTGTGACTAAAAAAACAGCTCTGTAAGTAATGGGGGAGAGCAAAACCAGAAGAGGCTGAGGTAAGGAGATGTGCAGGAGAAACCAGACTACAGCACAGATCCCGAAAGGCAAAGGTCCCCAGTGATCCCTCCTAGCCCGACCCAGGGAAAACGGTTCCTGGGCCTTACACCTCGTCACCACCGTAACGCGGGGAGCGGGAGCAGCACACCCAGCGCGTGGGCTGGCGCTCCTCACCCACAGCCCTGTCCTGAGCTCTGCACAGCCTCAGCGTCTGGGTTGGGGTCTTCACTTAAAGTAACGCTTCTAGGGGTGAGAACTCATTTCTGGCCTTGTGGTAGTCAGAAGAAGTATAATTCAACAAGGTGCAGTGAACAACCACCACGTCTCCTTGTTCACACCCTCTCCCTTCCCACCGTAGACAACTTGGACATAGAGAAGACTTCAGTCACGTTGTTAACACAGTGTCACTCCATTCCCGTTGCACAGTCCCTACCTTACACCTTCCAAACCCCATCTTAGGCCAATCTGTGTGACTAAATCTCCTACTAATCCGCATAAAAAAGGGAGTCTGACATCAGGTCGCTTTGCAAACCTTTAGGATTTAGTGTGAGCTCAGGTAATTTTCATTTGCACCCCATTCTCCTGCAGTGGAATGTTCAGACGTGCCCCCAGACGCACACTCAGGTCCTTGTTCAGTGGCCTGAATGCTCTTTTATGCCATGTATTTTTTTTAACTCAGTAAAACCGAGGCTGGCTCTCCCTCTGCGTGTGCTCTTTGTCTCCGGTCAATTCCAGGGGCTGAGCCCGGGAATGACGAGGCTTTCCCAGGCGAGGGACTCTGCCATCGAAAGGCCATCCTGCTCTTTATTCATCTGCTATCGCTTCGGCTCGGCCGCCTCCAGGACATCGTGCAAAGGGAGCTCATTTGCTGCAATTTTCATCAATTGTCTACGAGTTTTTCAGTCCCAGGGCTGGACAAATGTGAGTTTAATAAGATAAGTCAGGCCTGGGAAAGCAGCATCCCCCAGTTAAAATGAGGGAGTTTGTTTTCCTCTTTCCACCGGATTTTATCTTTTTTGCCTAACAAGTCTCTACATGTGGAAGGAGAGTCTGAAGGTCAATTGAGTATCTTGGCGGCGCTTGCCAGCCTCCTGGTGCAACGTGGTGAGGAAAGTATGAGAAAAATGTAATGAAGCTGGAGAAGGTGCCGCGAAGCTGTTGTGACAGCCCTCGCAGGTCACACGGCTCGCTGGCTGGCGCAGCGCTGGTGCTTTTCCACCTCCCCGCATTATCCTGACAAACTCATAAACCTTTGAGCTCAGGAGGTGCTCGGAGTCTGCAACCTGGTTTTAGCTTTACAAGATGAAAACGTTCCCCTATAAAGGCTGGAAGTCCACATTATTTCCCCAGAAACAAAGGTGAGGACGAGGCAAGAAGCAACATGAAAGCATTTGATCTGAGGAAAGCAGCATGTTTTTCGAGTAGCTCCCTTGGGTACTCGAGAAAGGAGCATGCTCTTGGAGACATCATCTCTCCTTGGAAGACTCTCCAAATTCGTTTGCTCCACACCGTTTCAGACAACTCAAGTTGGAGGGTGAGAAAATAGAAATTTCCAGTTGAAAAGCTGGAAACCCACCTTGTGTCCGTGCTGGGTTTGATGCCTCCCTGCCGCCCCTCTCCCGTCCCACCAAGCCGAGCGTCTCGCTGTTGGCCCTTGGGTGAGGAAGCCCAGAAGATGCTTCCTCACCCTTCACCTTTGCTTTCCGTTCCTTGCAAAGGACTTGCTCATATCATTTGCTTTTCTCGTATCATATTAACAGTTGTTTCTCTTTCAGGTTTTTCTACGCTGAGAATTTTGTGTACAAGCACTCTGCCCCTACTCACCCCGTCGCTGTGTCACCCTGTCCTCTTCTGGGCCAATCTCCTTATCGAGCAGGACATCCCAAACCCCTTGTGCCCACCTCTGCTTGCAGCAGAGCCAGGGTGGGGGTTCAGGTGAGAAATTATTCTCTTAGTGTCAGAGCAGTTGTTAGTAACCCTCCCTTCACTGGCAACACGTGAACCAAAACTGTTGGAGTCTCACTCCCCAAGCCAGGGTCCCAGATTCCTGTTTAGGTGTCTACATGGAAGTTAACTGGTTTTTCAGAAATAAATTCTCTACAGAGCTCAGTGAAATGACCAGAAGTTACAGCTGCTCCGCTTCTCTGAAAATCAGGCTGCTTTATTTCAGCATCTAAATGTGGATTAAGAAGCCCTGACTGCAGCCAGCCGAGCCCAAAGGTCTGCCCAGGTCGTCGTGGCTTCCACTTTCTCTTCAGATACTGAAGTGCTTCGGGCATTTCTCCAAATATGACTAATTTAATTAGTTCTCCAACCTCTGCTCTGGGACGTAATTGTGCTCATTTTAAGGCTACAGCTGATCACTCCTTAGACACGGACCTGCTGGAGCGGGGCCAGAGGAGGCCATGGAGATGCTGGGGGGGCTGGAGCCCCCCCCCTGTGAGGACAGGCTGGGAGAGTTGGGGGGTTCAGCTGGAGAAGCTGTGGCTGCCCCCTCCCTGGAAGGGTTCAAGGCCAGGTTGGACGGGGCTTTGGGCAACCTGGGCTGGGGGAAGGTGGCCCTGCCCGGGGCAGGGGGTGGCACTGGGTGAGCTTTGAGGTCCCTTCCCACCCAGACCAGTCTGTGATTGCAGGATGCGCAGCATCCTCTAGGCTGGGGTTAAAAGAGGCAGTTGTCTGGATGTCAGGGGCTGTTTTCCCAGGAATCCCCCAGCACAGCTCCTGAGAAGCTCCCACATACGGGGGGGGTGGATGGGGAGACGTTTCCCCACAGCGCTCACTGGCCGAAGGAGCGCCACAGAACGCAGTTGCAAGGTCAAAGCCTGCCCGTGTCTGCGGCCAGCGCTTGCACTTGGCGATTGAGGACGTGTGTGGGGCGGAGGGGAAGGGTGTTGGGTCCTGCCTTTGTGTCTCCAGCTCTGGTATCCGTGTCGTCGGCTTTGCTGTTGCCAGGGGAACCCACGAGAAGTTATAAAACAAAAAACAGCCCTGAGCCACATCGTGTCAATTAATGTAACCAGACGTATCCCCGCAAATAAGAACCGTATGTTAGAGATAACATCTTTGTTTGTTGCTTGCGGTTTCCTTGATGGCAAACTACTGTGCTGTAATCCTTTAGTGTCCGACTCGTTTATAAAATCACTGAGGATGAAAACTTGAAATACCGAGAGTGCTTGCTTGGGGCTGGGCTCTCGCAGGGCTCAGGGCCCCCGGCGGGGAAGCGGAGGGAGGCAGGGGGATGCTCTTCACCCAGAGAACATGTATTTTATTCTCTTGAAGGGGACACCTGTGATAAAGCTGGTCATTTCCCCTCCAGTTTGTTCTCCTTTAGTTATCTGTCACCAGCCTGACGTGTCCTGTCGGGCCAAGCAGGAGGTAAATTTGGAAACGTCGACAATTAGTGTAAGAGGTTTAAGGTTTGGGGTGGGTCTTTTTATTCTCAGAGGTATTGTGGCGTACAAAAGTCTATGGGCTTTGAACAAAACTTCAGCTTCCCAGCCTCTAAATCACTTAAAGTGGGACCTGACTGGCTGCAGAAGGCGTTTGAGTACCCGGCCTTGGCTAAGTCAGCGCGCACCTGAGGAGCCTCAGTCACGCAGGTACCGCAGAAAGCTGCACCCCCTCGCTGAAGGGCTGCGGCTGGCTCTGTGCAAGCCCGTCAGTGAATTCCCTTGGCTTAAGATCGTTTTGCTGCTGCTTTCCTCTCCTGATCCCTTATCAGCACAGGGCACGTGCCACTGGGCTGCCCAGGATCTGCACCACCTCAACTGGATCAACTCTCCGCTTTGGCAAACCAACCCTCCGTTCCGCTCTCGCGGATGTTTGCTGCAGCACAGAAACCCCTTAACCACAGGGTTTGTGAGACCACGGAAACGCGCAGGAGACAGGAGAACTTCATTATTCTTTACATGACTGTTCTTCGCTTGGCTATCACCGCTCTCAGAAGGGATCAGCGGTATCAGTCCAATAATTCCACCTTGGTCAAGCCCTTATGATATTTACACAGCGGCTGTGCAGTAGTTGGTGAGTAAATACAATTTCTTTGATCGCTGCTGGCTGACGGCGCTTCGGAGCCGTTTCACGCTGCTGTTTGAGGAAGGATGAGCAGGTCAGCACCCCCGCAACGCTGCTGTGCCGTACCCTCCCCTCCCTCTCGGCACGTGCACTTGGGTTATTTGGCTCCCTCCAAGCCACAGCACTTGGCAAAATGAACGGTTCTGACCTCGGGGAAAAAGGCTCAGGTTGCAGTTGTATGTGATTTTTTTTTTTTTTTCCCTACCAAATTAAAAGGAGGTAGGCTTCGAGCCAGGCACAGCTGAAGTGGCACGGTCCTTAGCGCAGGCAGAGCCCTCGCAGGTTTCACTCTGACACATTCACCCCACGTGCCTCACTCACCAGTTATCCACAGCCCTGCAAGATGTATTTTGCTTTCACAGGTACTCAGCAAACACCATACATACCTTTTTTAAATTTTTTTAACATCAAGGCGATATTGTGCTCTGCCGTCACTCGCCACGCTCTGCTGCCATCAGCGCACGTCCTTGTCCCCCTGCCCCAGACCCTCGCTCCCACCTGGGCATCCCAGGGGGGCAAAATTTTGGCTGGGGTGAGCAGGAGTTGTGTGTACAAACCCTTGAGCCCCAGGGCCCAGCACGGGCCAGCTGAGTGCAGCGATGGGACGTGTCTTGGCTTCAAGAGTCAGTGTTTTCCCTCCGATATTCTGTACTAATACATTAATGAGATCTCACACACAGCCTCTCATTGTATCGCTCGCTCTGTGTTTGTACGGTAATTAATTCTGACTGCAGCGACTGCATCAGCCTCGGGGATCGCTGCGTATGTGCCTGCGCTCGTGATGTGATTTTGGAGGATGCCTGAGCGCTGTTGGCGGTGTGATTTCAAATTGAAATGATGACATATTGATGAGCGTGAAACAGGCGCGTGGTGAGCTCAGCCACACACAGCCCCCTCGGGCAGCCCCGTCCAGGGGCGAGGGGCTCTGGGGGCCTCCGAGCGGTGGGAGCTGGGTGATGGGTCTCAGCCCCCTTCTTGCTAGAAGCAGAAAAAATAAAGGTGGGATTTGGTAAAGTCAACCTGAAATCCTTTTCCTTGGGGAATGCCTGCCCCGATCATGGCACGCCTCTGAGTCCCATCAGACTTCATCGGTGGCGGCCGAGGTGACCTGTGCTCTGCAGCGTGCAGCAGGTGAAGGCCAGGGACTCTGAATACACACAGGGAGACAAGTGGTTTAGATTTGTAAATCCCCAACGGGGTGGACAAGGGTGAGACAAGTCTGAGAGTCCACACACAGACTGTTACTGGTTCCCCACGATGTATTAACTGGATACAGGATAATTGGCAAGTGCTATAGAATGTCTTGTGTAACTTAAGGGTAGTGAGGGAAAAGGGGGAAAAGAGAGAGAGAATAGAAAAATAGAGATCACCAGTCTGGATTCTTGCGTTGGTCCTGTCTGAGTTCACCAGGGATTCATCCGTCTTCATTCCTTCACACCTTCTTTCTTTCTCATTTCACCCCTCTCCCCCCTCAGCTTACACCCACTTTCCTTGGGTCCATCCCCTGGGTCGACCCACACCCAGCCATACCCCACAGCTGGGGAGGGGTAACACGCTTAGGATGATCTTGTTAATCTTCATTTGCATATTCAGGGGGTGTCAACCTTAATATGCATCACAGAGAAATAGAAGCAGAGGTTGTTCACCAGACAGACAGCCCTGGAAACTAAACTGTCCTGTCTCCACAGCCCCCCCCGCCGCACCCCATCCTGTGCTGTCCGGGCGACTTCGCCACTCCAGACGCCCCATTAGTCACCCCATGACCGCAATTCCCTTCGGAGCGTTGGAGCCATTCCTCCCCCCATCCCTTCTCTCTCCCAGGCTGGTTTTTTTCTCGCGGGCCTGTTTCAGACCCTCTTTTGGGGAGTTCCAAGTCATCACACCTCACACTCCCCCCGTTGTCCCCCCGCTTTGCTTCTGGGCCGTGGGAGCGCTGGGGCCCGCGTGGCCGTGGGTGCAGGGCGTGCACGGGGGGGGGATGCTCGGGTCTGCTTTGCAATACTTCCACCTACAGAAGGAAACCCAGAACGGCAGCGGGAGCCGCCGGCAGCGGCCCTGGGAGCCGATGGGTGCGCAGCGTCCCGGGGGGG